TCGGATCCAGGAAAACTAGATGATTTAGGTAAACAACGTGGACGTCCAGAAAAGGCAACATCAACTTTATGTCGCTAATATTATCATGTTTTATATATGTATGATTTTGTACATTTTGTACATATGTGTGATTTTTTGGTAGTATTCATTAAACCAGTCACAAAACTCTTCTTGATATTTCAATTAAAAATCGTGAAGCGGGGACTAATCAATGCAACTGATGGGTACATTTCTTTTTCCGAGCACAAAATGTGAAAACATTTATTTGTGCCAGACCGGGCACTAATCAATGACCTCGGGCACAAATAAATGAAAAAGCTTGGCACAAAAAATAATTTTTCGCAGTTCGAATTGCTATACATCAGCATTCGAATTTGCATTGGCATACACACTTTACTGTAAAAGATTATAGAAAAACAATTTTTTTCATAGTTCCAATTAGAATTACGATATATCAGCATTCAAATTGGAATTCGGATAGATACTTCAGTATAAAAGTCTAGAAAAGAAAATTTCATCATAGTTCGAAGTCGAATTGCAATAGACACTTTACTGTGAAAGTTTATAAAAAGAAAAAAAATTTTAATCACTCGTATCTTGTGTTTGATTTTATTTTTATTTGACAACAATACGGACAACAAAGATAACAATAATAGAATGTTGCAAGGATAACAGAAAAGCGCGAAGGAGCCCTTATGATTACTGTTATCCTAAAGGACAAATAAAAGAACAACTAAGAGGTAGAGAAGAGAAAGAAAAAAATAGATGTAAATTTATATTTTCAAGAAATCTTTTAGATTTTGCTTAAATGACCTAATTGATGGTGCAGTCACAACTTCATCAAGTAGCCCATTCCACTCTATTGTCGTACGATGAAAGAAAGTGTACATTGTCGTGTACGTCCGTATATTAACATGTACAGCTTGAGAATGGTTCAACCTTTCAGATTGTCTGTTTGTGTTTAAATGAATTCGATTCATGTGTGACAAAATGGAATAATTATTTAAAATTTTGTAGAAATAAAGTAAACGGAAGTATTTTCTTCTTTTATATAAATCAGCTAAATTAAGTTTTTGCAACAGCAAAGGTACAGAACCATCAAACTTTTTCAGTATAATTTTGGCGCCTATACACGCTGGATATATTTTTAATTCCGCACTCAATGGTAAAGGCACTTTGCCACAAACAGCTTGACGTATCAATGAGGATTCCACAGTTTTCATTGTCCGTCTACATCCTCACTGCTTTGTCTCTCTGCTTCGTTTATCATGGGACAAAGTTACCATACCTCGCACTAGGGAGCAACGAACAAAATAAGATGTACTTTTCTTACAGGTGATATTTTCATTCTAATGACTGACTATTTCAAAGGTGCATCTCCGTATGCGGCTTTTTCAAGATTGTGGTTATGCAGAAGAAAGAAAACTAGTACTGTTTAGCATAAATTTGTGGAAAAGGTTTTTGCTTATTTTGGATTAGTTTTAGAGCACCTCCCATCCAGTTTTAAAGTAATATGGAATTGTAATATTTGATGTTTTCAACAGCCACACGAATCCAACAATATATGTACTGGTGGATGCAGTAAAAGAGTTCAGTTTCTCTATTCAGCAGCTTAAATTATAGAAAAAATATACGAAATTATCAATAGCACAAAACAAAATTGACAGCAAAGTGGCTCAGACGCTTTCAGAAACACTAAAACAAAATAACACTTTGACTAACGAGGAAACCTTTCCAGGTGTCCGACCGCTTTTCTAACGAAATGCGATAGTTTATAGGTAATCAACTATGCTGATTCGGAGCACGATAGCCGTTTTTGTCCATAGACCTTTCCTAACTGGTTTCTGAAAAACTGATTTTCCCGAAACCTCGAAAAATTCCCAAGAGTTGTTCTAAATAAGGCATGACTGTAGCTCGCGAAATTCTAATTAAAATGAAAAGTCTCCCAGCTCTACACGACCTTTCTTCGCAAAGTTATAGAATTCATAAGAAAAGCCTTAAATTCATTTTTCCTTCTTCTTTCTGTAGCTCTGAGGTGACAATAAACATTTAGGGCTTTTCTTGTAAATTCTATAACTTTGCAAAGAAAGGTCTTGTAGAGCTGGGAAATTTCTCATTTTAATCAGAATTTCGCAGGCTACGGTCATGACTTATTCAGAAAAACGCTTGAGGATTTTTCGAGGTTTCTGGAAAACCACTTTTCCAGAAACCGGTTAGGAAAGGTCTATGGACAAAAACAGCTATCATATTCGGAATCAGCATGGTTGATTACCTATAAACTACCACCGCATTTCGTTAGAAAAGCGGTCGGACACCTGGAAAGGTTTCCTCGTTAGTCAAAGTGTTATTTTGTTTTAGTGTTTCTGAAAGCGTCTGAGCCGCTTTGCTGTCAATTTTGTTCTGATTTAATTGATAAGATTTCTTCTTATTATTACTTTAAAAATTAAGACATATGTATAGGTGAATGTCTTGGAATATTACTGCTTAAAAATGATTTAAATTATCTTGAATTTAATTATAAAAATAAGCAATATAATTATTATAAGAATGATAATATAATTACTTGTGAATCAAATAGTGGAATAAAAAAATTAAATGACAATGAATTAAAATTTTAAATTATCATTTAAAATGTGATATTTTTCTATCTAAATCATTAGAATTAAAAGAAAAACTTGATAAATGTGATATTGAAAAAACAATAATTAAAGAATATTTAATAAATTAATTTAAGCTGCTGAATAGAGAAACTGAACTCTTTTACTGCATGCACCAGTACATATATTGTTGGATTCGTGTGGCTGTTGAAAACATCAAATTTTACAATTCTATATTACTTGTAAAATTTAATGTTTTGAACGGAATACGTACTTCTCATGCTTCGAAGTATAGAAAATCATGAACTTCAGTTCTTACAGGATGTCGAACTGATACATGACCCCCACTACTAGATACTGATACAAAGAACAGATTTAATTATTTAATTATTTAGTTTACTATAATATACATTTTGCTTTGTTAGATCAGAAAATTCTCTGACGTCAGCGAATGCAGCAATCACCCTAGTCATCGGTTCTTATATAAGAATCTTATAAGAATCTCACAAGAATTCATAAGAAATTGGTAAGAGTCAGCAAAACTCGTACGTTATTCTTATCAGATATTTATAAGATTCTTGTAAGATTCTTATAAGATTTCACAAATATTTTTTGTTTAGGGCAAAAGGTCCGATCGTCGTTTTACTGTATCTCCTTTACGTTTTGTATATTCAAGTGTCTCAAAATCTTCATCGTTCGATACGGTGCCAATGTTTAGAGCTGTACTTGTCAGCTCATCATCAGAGACTAAATCTTTTTTCAGTGCTAATGCTTCTTTGTATGTGTTGTAATTCGACGAGATGGGTAACTGCTTTATTTAAATATTTTAATTCATCTTCATTTTTACTCAATGAAAATAGAATCGATTCTCTGGTAATAAGTTTCAATGAACGATCAACAATATCCGTCAACCATAGTTCAAGAATCATATAATCAATTTCACTTTTTTCAAGTATTTCTTTTTGTTATTTTAATTTTTGTTTGAAGTAACATATCCATCATGTCATAATAACGAATATCTCCGATTGGTATTACTATTTGATTTTCATCATTGTTCAATTCATATCCATAAACGTCTACAATATGAGCATCGTTTTTGTTGTTATTTTAAATAAGCATTTGTACCCAACAGAGATTGAAATCCTTTGTATGTAATGTCAACCACTTTCTTTATACTGTCTCCATTTGTATAAAAAAATAATCACCGAAACCATGATCTGCAATATCAGTCATTCATTTTTCATCAAAATCACTACCAATACCAAATGAACAAATTGTTATTTCATATATTGTCTTCATATATTTTACTTCTTTCAATAATTGCTCGTGTTGTGTAACACCTTCGTTTATTTATCCATTGGAAAATGCAAACAATCGTTTTATGGCGTTTTATTTGCATAAATAGATTTTTCAGCATACCGGACTACACACTTTTTTCAGGCGATGAACGTAGATGGATCGAAAGCTCGAAACTGAAGATAATTTTGGCGAACAAAATTAAACGTGTAATCGTAAGACGGTCCTGTAGCTCGAACCAACCCAAAAAAGTCGTTCACGGGATGTACCCTCATAGTGCATGACACTATCATAGTCGCATGACGTTGAACAGATTCAAGTTTTTTACATTGTGCAGAAAAGATAATCGGTGGTAAAATAACTCAGTTTGGTTTAGTTGACATTCATCGTCTTTGTTTTTTCTTTAAAATTGTGAACAAAATATATGATTTGAATGACCTATTGACACCAGCGAATACCTGTACCTATCTTTTACGTAGTCAAAACAATGGAAAATTATCAGTGCGTTATATTATATAATAGTGTATTAGACTGCATAAAAACGACAAAACGTTTCCGTCCGTGATGTGGTTGTACTTGACCTGCTTTTATTGTTCTGTAGTAGACACGCTCAGGTCGAAATTGATAGAGATCCGTTGATAACATTCCAACATGATAAACGAGTCCTTAGAACTTGCTCTCTCTTGTCCTAGAATAGTTTGCTGTTCTTTCTCTAATATATTATCAGTTGTTCTTTCCCTTCTCTTTTTCGCAATTAACTGTATTTCTCTTTTGATCAAATTGTCACAATACGTAATGAGCATAGCTCGATTTGTTGTTTAATAAACTTAGTTTAAATCAAAGATAATCAGGCGTTATAATTATTTTCAAGAATTTTTGTTTTAAGGCACGTTTAATTGTTATTATATTGCTTTTTTCGGATGCTTTTTGCCTAACCGATTCACAACACAAGTGTGAATTAAAGAATATCTATCGCAAAGTTGTGTGTCTATAAGGATTTTCGTAGCACCACATCACTTGCATGGAGATTACAGCATTTTATATAAAAAAAAATACCCAGAAAAAAAACCTACTAATAAGGTCTTGTTTTTCAGGTTATTTATACACATGAGAATAAATAATTGCGGTGAGTTGATTTGACGTTTCGGAAGTAGAGTGGTTGTTATTTCTGTTCTTTAGATATCAATTACTTCGGTACAAGGAATAACGATGATATCGAACAGCATGGAGAAGAAACATTTGATCAACGAGAGCATGACCCGAATAGTGCAATTTCAAATATTTTCTCACCATCTTGTTTTGATGCTATATTACCGGAAGAACCTATGAAACAATCGCTGACATGTACGATTAGCCATAAGCCTATAATTGAAGATCATGAATTTGATGTGGCAATGAATGATGAGATATGGCTAAAAGATATAAGAGATTTTTTGTCGAAAGGTCAGCGTGAGTTTTTTTATTGATGTGATTCTCATATTCGAATTATCTTTCATTTTCAGATTGGAATTCCACTGATCACGCAGAGCCAATAGTGACCAAAGACGTACATAAATCAACAGATAAACCAAATTCAGAATTAAGAGAGAATATACCGAATATCGGTGATTTTGTTACGGGAGCAGAACCAGGTAGGTTATGAGTCCAGATAATAGATTAAGAATTAACGACATTTACATTAGAGGATCAAATTACAGTAAATTACAAAGATAGAAGACTTGCCATCAAGACCGGAGTGCAACGGGACGTTCGCCTTCAGTACATATCAGATGTGTTTCCATTAAATGGAGAGCAGTTTGGAATACCGCAGTCACCACATTATCTACAAGATAAAGATGGAGAAATGCATATTATTATCCAAGTACACCTCCTCCGATCGTCTTCTATAATATTTCGTCTCCTTTTATATTTAGCTGCCTAAATATTATTTGAACAGAGCTCCTTTATTGCTACGGGCAATTTTGTTGACCGTATGTCATAATGGGCAATATTATATGTATACAGGTACATTTTTAAGAGACAAAAAGAACGAGGAAATTGCATCCAGTAATCCCGTATATTTTGAGTTTGATAAACCTGATTTTCTTACAGACGGAATGCCGTAAGTATATCTAGCGCACATCTAAGTATAAAATAAAGTTCTTGGGCTTCTTTTAGATTGAACTTGGCTTTAATTACACAAAAAATATCGGAATTAAAAGCACAGCAACCATTGCGTCCGTTTAATCCGCCAGAAAACTTTATTCATCCATGTCGTAAGTAAAAAAATCGCTAAGCACGTTGTACGTGAGTGATATGTATTTCTTGATATTTAGCAACGATAATTAGACATGACAAACTACGAGCAAGATTACTGGATATATCCAGCAGATATATCCAGCAATAATTTATATTGTCGTAATTCTGCAAGAATTTCGATAACTTTGGAAATTCGACAGTATTGTCCAAATTCCATTGTTCTTTCGAAATTTGTCGAAACTATAATGGAATTTGGACAATGTCAAAATTCTGGTGCCCAAATTCTAATTGCCCAATTTCCATAGAACCCTTTCAAAGGGCTGTCGAACGGTATATAAATGTCTATTGTGAAAATGGATCCTTCGACCAGAAAATAGTATACAAAAAACATGAACAAATACGACATCTATACACAAAAATACGATTTTTCACTTTC